ACTGGCCTGACATGCTGCCTGAGCATCAGGGTTCTGAACGATTCCCTCGTGATTCTCACCTGCGGACAAAGGGGAGGACTCATGGGATGGATGTTCTGGTTCCTACACATTACAGAAAAAGACAGTACAATCCCTTTCCCAGAGAGGGGGAAGAGCATAAATACAAATAATCCCAAATAGGGTCATAGACAGATTCTGAAATTTTGCATTTTAGGTTGTTGTTGCTGTTTTTAATATTCTTACGTGCAAAATGAGCTGATGTGAGAAGTAAATGAATGTATATAGGTAGCACCATTCTCACAAAATCTTCCACGGCAGTGCACTCTGTATTGCTCATCATAGTTTTGCCAACTGATGAAGTACAGTTTGTGGCATTTTTACTTGGTGCTTATACCTTTAAAATGGTCCCTTCTGGGCGCATGAATCCTTTCTCCTCATGGATTTCTTCCTTTTCTGAGTAATGCTTTTCATCTGGAAGTCTGATTTTACCCACAATATTAACAGAGCTCCCTTGGCTAGCTTTCTTTAGCCCCGTAGTAAGTAGTTATTTATAATGGTATATCTATTTTTTAATCCTTTCCCTTTCAAAATTTCTGTATTCTTCTGTTTTGGATGAGTCTCTTGAATGAAATATAGTTGGATTTTTCACAAATCTACTCTGGCAATCTTGCTGCAGATGCTCTGTAAATCAGAGCATTTAGTCCATTTACATTTAATGTAGTTACTGATCTGGTGATAGACTAACAACTCACGGGGGACCGTGTAAAGGTTGCTGTTCTCACCTGTGGCCATGAGAGGGCAGCTTAGGGGATCTGCAGCCATGAAGGGACAGAAGGAACAGAGCATCTGCTCTTGGGATCTGACCACTGCTTCTAAGCCCGTGTCCCCCCAACAATGGGCATCCTCTGACCATGGGAGGAACAAGGACAGAAACTGGAGGACAGGAGTGTGGTGACCTGGGAGACTAAAAAGTAATCCAATGGCCATGCCCATCGGTGGGGTGAGGGCTCAGGGCAAAAGCCAATGGTCAACTTGTATAGAAAGAGTTCAATATTTTAATAACTAGGACTGCTGCATAAGCCATTCACAGTGATATCAACCTGATGACTTATTTGGATTTAACTCTACCATCTTATTTTATTTGTAACACTTGCTCTATGCTGGTATTCTTCCTTTCTTGACTTTTTTTATTTATACAATAGTTTTTCTCTTGTACTTTTTAGTAAGCACTACATTTATTTTTAATCCTCACTTGAGGATATTTTTTCCATTGATTTCCAGAGAGAGTGAAGGGAGGAGGAGGGGGGGAGAGAAAGAGAGACACATCAATTGGTCGCCTCCTGCATGCACCTCTACAGGGGTTGGCGAACCTGCAACAGAGGTACATGCCCTTGACCTGGAACCAAACCTGAGACCCTTTGGTGCCATAGGCCAACACTCTATCCACTGAGCAAAACTGGATTGAGCAAAACCAGCCAGGGCTAAGTACTACTTTTTTTTTTTTTTTTTTTTTTTTTTTTTTAGAAATTACACGATTTATCTTTTTTTTATTGTTGTTAATCCTCACCTAAGGATATTTTCCCATTGATTTTTAGAGAGAGTGGAAGGAAGGAAGAGAGACAGAAAGGGAAACATTGATGTGAGAAAGAGACATGTTGATTTACTGCATCCCACACGCTCCCCAACCAGAGCCAACTAATAAGGTATGTGCCCTTGACTGGAATCAAACCTGCAACCCTCCAGTCCACATGCCGACACTCTAGCCACTGAGCCAAAGCTGCGAGGGCAGGAAAAATGTTAAGAATACGTGCCTAATAGTTCATCTTTGACTTCTCAAAGCTTGTTTTTAATCAATACATTGACTTTCCTCCCTGACAATACCAGGGCCTCGGCCTCAGAACATCTTAATTTACCCCCATCCCTACTAACTCGCTGCTGTACATTTTAATCCCTCATATTTTAATCCTTTATAAGACATCATCATTATTCTGAAGGCAGCATTTATTAACATTTATCTCCTGGGCTCTTCTTCCTTCTTGATGCTTTAGGTAATTCTGGGATTTTTTTTTTCTTTTTGCCTAAAGCTCATACTTGACAATTTCCCTCACTGAGAGTGTTCTTTGGAAATGTTTCTATTTTGCCTTCATTCATAAAAGAGGTATCGCCGAGGATGGGGTTATAGGTTGGCGATTATTTTCTTTCGGCCCCTGAAGATACTCTCCCCGCTGCCACCTGGGAGCTGACGTTAGTCTGTTAGTCCAATCAGAGCAGCTGCCTTTTTGAATCTGGCTACTACGGTACTATCGCCCTTCACCTTTCTGCACTTACACAGGTTGAGAGCCGCTAGCAGGGTCGCCTAAGATCATGGGAAAACACAGATATTTACATTACAATTCATAACAGTAGCAAAATTACAGTTATGAGGTAGCAACGAAAGTAATTTTATGGTTGGGGGTCACCACAACATGAAGAACTGTATTAAAGGGTCGAGGCATTAGAAAGGTTGAGAATCACTGCATTGTTGTGTCTTGGTACCTTGGTATTCTTTTTATTCATTCTCCTTTAAATCTGTTGTGCTTCTGTCTTTGGTGTTTTGTTGTGCTTCTGTCTTTGGTGTTTTGGTATCTTTCTGAAAGATGTTGAGCCAGCCCTAATTGGTTGGCTCAGTGGATAGCACATTGGCCTGCGGACTCAAGGATCCCAGGTTCAATTCCGGTCAAGGGCATGTACCTTGGTTGCAGGCACATCCCCAGCAGGGAGTGTGCAAGAGGCAGCTGATCGATGTTTCTCTCTCATCAATGTTTCTAACTCTCTATCCTTCTCCCTTTCCTCTGTAAAAAAGTAATAAAATATATTTTTAAAAAGGATATTGAGCCATAGTTTCTTAAAATGTTGCCTTTGCTCCACTCTCCTTCTCTGTCTGAGACTCTGGTTCAATCAATGTTAGATCCTCTCACATGACCAAACCATATCTTCTAGATTTCCGATCTTTTTTCTCTCTGTGCTTTATTTGGGATAATTTCTTTAACTCTACATTTCAATATATTAACCCCTTCTCAGTGGTGTTTAATATGCTGTTAAAAACAACACATCCAATGATGTGGGTTATACTGTATTCCTAGAAGTTCTATTTGTGTTTGTTTGTTTTTTTAATTGGTTGTGTCACTTCTCTTTTAAAATATATATTTTTATTGATTTCAGAGAAGAAGGGAGAGAAAGGGAGAGAGAGAAACATCAATGATGCGAGAGAACCACTGATCGGCTGTCTCCCTCATTCCCCTTCCTGAGAATCAAGCCCAAAACCTGGGCATGTGCCCTGACATGGAATTGAACTGTGACCTCCTGGTTCATAGGTCAACCCTCAATCACTGAGCCACACTGGTGGGCAGTTGCGTCACTTTTTATAGCTCCCTATTCCCTGCATATATCTTCAAACCTGATTTTTTCCACTTAATATTAATATGTGTATGATTTATAATTCCAGTACCTGAGATAAAAGAGCTTCTTTCTATCGTCCATTGTTCTGTTTCTTCTCATTCATGGTGTCTGTGTCTGCTTATCTTTGACTCTGTGCTAGCTATTGTATAAAACAAATCAACTGAATGATCATTTGAGGCCTAGGCTAAAAGTGCCTTGCTTTACACAAGACAGCTTTGATTTCTGAAATGTCTGGGATAACTATGCTTGAGAGTCCCTGGAAAACCAATACAACTGTAGTTCAAACTGCGATGACTTGTGAGGGTTCATCAACTTGTAATTCACATTCACCTTGAAGGTGCAGTCCTTTGGGTCTCAGCTTATTGTGGGGAGGGTCTGCCATCACATTCCCCACCTTGCCCTGATTGGTGATCAAAACCAATTGTTACACTTGTCAGACTTAGAAAGACTTCTGGGAAAAAGGTAGCTTTCATACTCATTTCTCTCTTTGGGCTTCCATTTCCCCATCGTTCTCTCCTGAGTAATTCTTTGCAGTGCCAACCCCTTGAAGGCTTTGAAGATTATTTTTATTTAAATCCAGTTCTCAAGTTGGTTTTGGTGGAAGAGTTAGTCCAAATAACCTAGTCCACCATCACTGGAACTAGGAAGCCACCTAATGTCTTCCTAGGTTCAAGGCTGGCATTCGGTAAATGATGGCTGGATTAGCTGAATTGTAATAATCTCCCAGACACTTCTTTTTTTTTTTTTTCTTTCCTGTTTGCATTTACAAAGACTGTTTCCTACTCTTGGAATGCATAGAACTCCCACATCCCACCATTTGACTAGACTCAGAATAAATGCCACATTTTCCTCCAAGTTCTTCCTCCTCTCCACTTCCTCCAATCTGAGTCCTATTTCTTCTGCATCGAAAGCCTCACAAGACTTAGTGAGCACCCTCCTCTGGGTACTTCACTAGATGGGACTATATTAGCACAACCACTTCTCTCTCCTGTGCATTGCCACTTTCTTGACATTTCTGGGCTTTTCAAGAATCCCCTTGCTCCCCTTCCAGCTTAGCATACATTATAAACAGATTTCTTGGAAAATATCAGCTCCCGCAATTTTAGTTCTGATGTCCTGGGAGGGGCATTCCGTCTGCCATACTGCTGGAAGCAGGACGTAGCTCATTAAAATAAGCCGTTACATTTGCGCTGCACTTTAGAATTAAGAGGATGCTCTCACAGACCTACCTCCTACTTCAGTGCTGTCATTATGATGCTACCGATGAGAATTCAGGGGGTAAGAGACTTAGAAAACACACCCAAAACAGAGCCACAAAGCCAGGGACGGAACGCAGCCTTTCTTCCCAAGCCCACGGTTCCTGCCAGGGCACACAGTTTACTCCCCATATTGTTTGTGCCACTCGTCGTTTCTATGGCAACAACACCTGACACCAGGAGGGCAGACATTTTACACGTGAACGCACAGCAGCTCAGAAGTGAGGCCTGGCCACTAGACGGAGCGGCTGGCTCTGTGAGGAGTCCCCCACAGGTGAAGGGGCCCCCAATCTCAGTCCTCCTTACCTCACTACCTTGGTACCATTTCTCACGACCTGCATGTCCACCATGCAGCCCCCGGTAACGTAGGCAGCTAGGTTCAACTCTGAGAACTCGGCCTGAAGGAGAAAGCGGAAAAACAAAGAAGGATTCAGCAGACATGAATAATGCTAAGAACGGCCAACATTTATTGGGTACTTCTGTGTTGCCAAGGACCCATGTACAGCTCACTGGAAACGTAGGAAGCTGGCAATATTGTTTACTTCCATTGTTGAAAGATGAGGAAGCTGAGGTGCCGAGAGGCATGGGAACATGGCCAAGGCTACATAATTCATAAAAGGCAAAGTTGGATTGGAACCATGTGTCTCTGATTCAAAGAACCGTGTTTTCTCGCCCGGCCAGTGTGGCTCAGTGGTTGAGCATCAGTTTATGAACCAAGAGGTCATGGTCCCATTCCCAGGTCAGGGCACATGCCCAGGTTGTGGGCTCAATCCCCAGTAGGGGGCATGCAAGAGGCAGCTGAGCCGGTCCATGATTCTCATCGTTGATGTTTCTTTCTTTTTCTTTTTTTTTTTAATATATTTTATTGATTTTGTACAGAGAGGAAGGGAGAGAGATAGAGAGCTAGAAACATCGATGAGAGAGAGTCATCGATCAGCTGCCTCCTGCACACCCCCCACTGGGGATATGCCCGCAATCAAGGTACACACCCTTGCCCGGAATCGAACCCGGGTTCTTTTGGTCCCCAAGCCAACGCTCTATCCATTGAGCCAAACTGGTCTCGGCTCATCGTTGATGTTTCTATCTCTCTCTCACTCTTCCTTCCTCTCTGAAATCAACACACACACACACACACACACACACACACACACACACACATATACATATACATATACATATATATATATATATGTATATATATGTATATATATGTATGTATGTATTTAAAGACTCATGCTTTCAACCATTACTAATTTCTACCTGCTCAAAGGTGAAAGAAGCCACTCAAACTCCAGGATGAGAAGATGCCACATGCTGTCGGCATGACCTCTCCCCTAGGCTCCTGCAGCTTCCTGCAAGGCTGTGGTGGGTGCTGCAGCCAGGTGAGCGCGCATCACTGTTAAGGGAGCCCTTCTCTTTGGGTTACCTGTCACTGGTTCTCTTTTTAGGTCATGGTTACCTTAGGAGCGCCCTGTCTGTGCACTGAAGTACTGTTCCCCTGGTCCCAGCTGGTGGTGCTGGCACCTGACCCAGGGCAGGAATATGATACCCTTCCATTAGAATTGGAATCTGCTGAGCCATCCATGTAGTTCCTCTCTAGGAGGGCTGTATCTTTAATACACAAATCCAACTGCAAATGGGGACCATGTTTTCTGCCATCTGGATTAGGGAAGCACAAAAAAACAGGGTGGAGGGGGAGAGGGCCAAAGGCAGAGGGGGGAGGAGAAGGGAATGGAGGGGAAGGAGGAAGGAAAGGGGAGAAAAGGAAAGGGGAGGGGAGGAGAGGAAAAAAGAGAGAACAAGGGAGGGAAGGGAAGGGAAGGGAAGAACAGGGGGTTGCCTCCCATTAATGCCCTGACTGGGCATCAAACCTGCAACTTAGTATGCACCCTGACAGGGAATCTAACCCACAACCTTTTGGTAACTGGATGAGGCGCCAACCAACAGGGTGAGATGGGGAGTACTGTCGACATTATGCGCCAGCTGCAATCCTGCCCTTGCATTTTATGAGATGCCTCTGTATCATTATAAGTTCATCTTTGCTTTACTGTCTGCTTAAGCAAGATTTAGTGAATTTCTGTTGCTTGCAACCAGAGTGCTATGGAATACATCCCTCCTAGCAGGCAGCGATGTGTGTCATGACCATTTGGATTCCTTTCCTACAGTTGTCATAACCAAGTATCACCACTAGGCGGCTTAAAAGCAGAAATTTCTTTTCTCAGTTCTGGAGGCTAGAAGTCCAAAATCAAGGTGTCAGTAGGGTTGGTTCTTCCCAAGGGCTGTGAGGATGTGCTTGCCTCTCTCCCTGGCTTGCAGATGGCCACCTTCTTCCCAAGTTTCATCACCTTGTCTTCCTTCTACACATGTCTGTGTATCCAAGTTCCCCTTTATCTAAGGACAGCCCTCCTACTGGATTGGAACCCGCTGCATGACCTCATTTTAACTTGATTACTTCTGAAAAAACCCTATCTCCAAAGAAGGCCACGTTTTGAGGTTTGAGGGGTTAGAATGTCAACATACAAATTTCAGGGAGACAGAGTGCAACCTGTAACCTCATCCTAGAAAAACCAGAGTATTACACCACGCCTTTTACACAGCAGACAGCAAAAGCGATTTCTTTGGATTTAAGAAATTTTTAAAAATAACTGCTCCCATGTATAAGATACTCACTGTGTGCCAGATACCGACCTAAGTATTTTACATTCACTTAATCCTCACCCTTGCCCAGATTTTTTTTTTTTTTTTTTAATGAGCCAGAAATGAAATTAACAAGCCCAATGTCACGCAGGAAGCAGCAGAGCCAGGATATAGATACAGGCTGTCTGGCTGCAACCAGTGCTTTCAATTGCTGCCCCCCTACGGCCTCTGCTGCTGAGTTCAATGAGGCGTTAGGTGGATTACAGTGGGGAATTTTACGGACCTAAAAGCAACCCGTTTAAAGAGAAAAAGAGTTGACACGGAAGAGAAATATCATCTCATGGAGAATGAAATGCATGCTCTTGGAAACATTTTAACAGAAGTTATGACCTAAGACCGAGCCATCTCCCCAGTTGGCCTTAGAGCAAACCCAGAGCGCTTATGTCTCTTGCCCTAATTAATAACCTCATTAGGCTGCGGTAAGGTGAAAAGCACAGGGCCCTATTAATGAGCCCCGGTTAGTAAACAGTGGTAACGACCTGGTTATTAAGTCTAATGCCTTAAAAATGCAGTCCCATCATGTTTAAGAGACTTCACTGGCAGGATTACAAAGAAGCATTAGCATGAGAAGTGGGTGCTTGAGTTTGAGGAGAAAAAAGGGTTAGCACAAAGTTGCAACATAGGATAGCGAGCTGGACACCAAGTAGATACAGGAAGGGAGTGAATCAGAATCTTGGATGATAGCACTTTCTGACTCAAGATGGCAAAGACCCAAAGGCAAAGAAAGATACTTGGACAGAAAACACACTCGGGCTTGGCATACACGTTAGACGTTCATCTTGCTCAGACCGGGTATCTGGAGTTATTTCCCAATCCCGGTGTTTGGGTATTTATAGGAGGTCAATGCCTGGGCTGCAGGGTAGCTCTCCTGATAGGAACTTAGAGAGCAGCCAATGTGAAGCGCTTCAGAGGTCCCCTAGAGTCTGTAATGGGTTGAACTATATACTCTCCCCACAAATATGTGCAAACCCTAACCAGTGACAACCGCAAATGGTACCTTTATTGGAAACCGTCTTTGCAGAGGTAATTAAGGATTTCAAGAGATCATCCTGGCCCAGCCAGTGTGACTCAGTGGTTGAGCATCGACCCATAAACCAGAAGATAACAGTTTGATTCCTGGTTGGGACACACGCCCAGGTTGTGGGCTTGATCCCCAGTAGGGAGTGTGCTGGAGGCAGCTGATCAACGATTCTGTCTCATCATTGATGTTTCTATCTCTCTGAAATAAATAAAAATATATTTTTTAAAAAATAGAAGATCATCCTGGATGAAGGTGGGCCCTAAATCCAATGACAAGTCCTTACAAAAGAAGAGAAGGGGAGAGAAAGACCCAGGAAAGAAGGCCTTGGTGTGAGCAGAAGCTGGCGCTACAAGCCAAGGAAGTCCAGGATGCACTAGCAGTTGGAAGAGGCAAGAAAGGACCCTCACTGGAGCTCCCAAAGGGAGTGCCCGCCGGCCACACCTTGATTTCAGAGCTCTCTCCTCCAGAACTGTGAGAGAATGCATTATGTTGTTTTAAGCCACCAAGTTTGTGGTAATTTGTTATGACAGTCCTGGGAATAAAAGTTCAGTAATTTTGGAAATTAAATGCAATTTCAGTATTACATGCAAAGGTGTCAGAGTTCAAAGAAGGAGCAGGCCTAAGCCGTCAGTTGGACATCCCCTGAGGCTCCCAGACTGTGAGAGGGTGCAGGCTGGGCTGAGGGACCCTCCCTCCCCAAGTGCATGAATGTGTGCACCGGGCCTCTAGTAAATTATAAAAAGAAAGGACTGCTTATGGCTATAATTAATTAACAGGGACTATATTTACACTCTCATCTTAACTAGAAAACCAGACAAAATATATTAAGGAACAGTCTTCAGCCAGTGGACAGCAGGCATGGCAGAACTATGATCCCTGCAAAAAGGAAACAGATGGAATGATCCCCATGATTACTCGGCTGACTGCCTGGAGGCAGTTTTCAGGCAGTAGAGCAGTGTGGGAGAATACCAACATTCTCGACAGTCTTACTGAGCTGAGGAGTCTGAGACTAGAAGTCAGAGGCCAAGACAGCTAGAATGGGCAGGAGAGGACGTAGGAGGAGATAGACATGCACAGAAAAAAGACCTCGAGGGAGGTCTGCAAGTCCTAAGTGCTGATCTGAGCATGCGCGTAGGAAGGAACCACCAAAACCCAGCAGACTCGCACGCTCCAGAACTCTCACAGGCTGGGCACAGTTATGCTCTCCCAGCTGCGGTAAAGACATTATAATAGGAGTGGTGTCCTCAAAATGTAGTCATGGGACTCAGCCCTGGACCACAGCACCCTCTAGATCTAGGCTGTTTAATCTGTTCCAGTTTGCTAGGAGCTTTCTAAGTTTTAAATCAGAAAGTCCTTCTTCTCAAGAACTCTCAGTTTTGAAATTTGAGAATCATGTCCTGGGGACCTCTTAGACTCGGGCACTTGGGATGATAAATGAAGATATGCCTTAAGAAAAGTTTAAAAGCATTCCCTGAAGGTGTCAATTTTATTCCAAGACACTTAACTGCATCTCAGAACAAAGTACAGCACTATTTAAAGGAATACAACAAAGTCCAGCAGCTAACATGAAATATGTATGGTATTCAGTCATAAATAAATTACCAGGCATGCAATGGAGCAGGAACATATCACCCATAAGAAAGAGAAATCAATAAGGACAGAACCATAAATAAGACACAT